GGGACTGGCAGTGAGGGGTGGGAGGCTGGGCTTCCTCTCTCCTTCGTTCCTGCTGCACTTCCCTGCCCAGAGTCCATTTATCGCCGTTATTAAGTTATTTAAAATCGTTTCAAAAGCACCTACTAGGTGCCAGGCTCTGAGAGGCCAAGTGGCCTGGCTCATAGCGGGTCGCTCAGCTTAAAAGCGGTGAGTAGGATTTCAGACCAGGGGTCTTTTTTCATTCATACATACATATGATATTAAGATATATATATATATATATATATATGTACCGCCTAAGATTTTATATATATATATATATATAGTGTCCCTCCCAAAATGTATCCACACATTTTGAATAGTTATAAAGGCAGTGTTTGTTTATTAAAATACGTTTCATTTTCAAAATTGAGCTATCAGCTGTTACAGTACGTATACATTTTGGGGGGACATCCTTTATATATATCACCTACTATGTATCAAGCACAGTTGTAGCATCTGGGGATCCAGCAGTGAACAAAACAGCAAAACCTTGTACTCGGGGTTTGCATTCTTGTGGGGCTGGGTGGTTGGAGTGGGTAATAAAAAAGGAAAATATATAAAATGATGGGTAGTGTTAATTAAGGTCTATGGAGAAAAAGACGGCTGGGAGGAGGAGCTGGTAAGTGCTGGATGGTGGGGTGGGGACTGCACTGAGAAAATGACTTTTTAGTAAATGCTCCCAGCGGGGAGGGGGTGGGCAGGGACCAGGCAAGAGTGGTGAGGTAACCAGGAGGGACAAAGGCCCCGAGGTGGGAGCAGCCCTGCCCATCCTTTGTGGCCTAGCTCCAAAGTCACCTTCCCTCGCCCCTAGAACTGCTCATGCTAGGGCTGGGTGCCAGGCGCTGGGCTCTCACAGGGCCTCTGTCCTTCCCCAGGTTTGATGTCTCTGCTGTTTACCCCGACCTGAAGAAGTTCAGTACCTTCACGGAGTACTCCAGGTTTTCCATGGACAACGTGAGTTTGCCCAGCTTCGCTGACTCTCCCACGTGGTTGGGGCTCTGCCCTCTGAGTCCCCCACCACGGTGGGTGAGCTGAGCCGTGTAAGGGACATGCCTTACACCTCTCCATGCCCTCAGTCCTCAGCACAGAGCTTGGTTAGAGCCAGGGCAGGACTACAGTTGGGGCCACAGAGACCTGGGTTCCATTCCCATCCCTTGCACTGCCTGGCTATGGCTCTTGAATGAGTTATTCCTCCTTCCTGGAGTGTGAAGGAGCCAATGGCAGGAATTCATGATGATACCTTGAGTACCACCCCCCTCAGTGCCAGGCTAGGTGCTGAGTGTGGTGCCAGAGAGGGGCAGGTCACCCCCAGGTCAGGGTGGTGGCTTCCTGAGGACTTGCTCTGTGGGTGGACTGTGTGTGTGTGGCTGTCCCAGCTCTGACTATGCTCTGACTCAGTCCCACATAGGACCTGGGACCTATGGCACCAAGGAGACCTGCTTCAGCAAGAGAAAGCTGAACAAAGAGGTGGGCACAGGCTGGGCCAAGGCCCAGGAAGCCACCCGGCTGACCCAGATGCCCCACTTCCAGTACCAGACCATCATGAGAGAGAAGCGGCTGCAGGTGAGGTCCCTGGCAGCATCCCTCCCCATTCCATTGGTGGCCTCAGTGTCCTCTCGGGCCCAGGTAGAGCTTGTCCTTTAGGGAACACCATCATCCCCTGGGCTCCTCTCCATGTGGACATCCCCAAGTTTAAGGTTTTCACCTTCTCTCCTCTCTTGGGGCAGAAGGAAAAGCTGGGGCCCGGCTCCTACAACTTCAAAGACTTCTTAGAGGAGCTGCAGCAGAAGCCATGCAGCACCCGGGGGCTGCTCAGCTCTGGGGAGGTTCGCTTCCGAGGACTCATCGGGGTAGGTGTTCTCCTGTAAGGAGTGGGAGCCCTCCCACCCTCTGCTCTCTTCAGAGCATGTAGCCTGGGTGGTGCTGGAAGCGCCCCTCTCATTCCATTCCCCCCCCAAGCTTGGCCAGCCTCTCCTTTGGGTCCCCACAACCCTCAGCTTCCCAGTGCGACAGCCTCAAGCCCATAGCCTAGTCCCCCAACTAGACTAGAAGTTCCCTGCTGGCAGGGGTGGGTCTGGTCAGTCTCTGAGTCCCCAGCACAGAGCCTGGAATACATTAGCTGCTCAACAAACTCATCTATATATGTAGCCTCTTCTGGTCTCTGGTCCCCACTGTGGTCCCTCCACCACTTCAGGTCTATAAATACCACCTGCCAAAGCTGTGGGTGCCTTCTTTAGGGTCTCATGACTCTGTCCCCTTGAGGGGATGGGGCTGTGGAACCCTGCAAAGGCAATGCCTTCTCCTCTGTTTTCTGACCCCATCCCCCACTGGCACTGGCTGCTGCCACCACCCCTCCCTCTGCATTCTCCCCTCTCTTGGCTTTGGGGACACTGGACTCTACAGCCTTGGAGCTCCTTTACCAGCCTCCCTCCATGGCTCCTCTTCCCCAGCCCTCCCCGCTTTGGGGGTGATCTCTTTCACCCAGCCAGACTCCATGCAGATGGCTCCAGATCCCCACCCCAGGGTCCCTCAGGCACCTCAAACCCTGCACCCCCATCCCATCACATGTCAGCATCTCCCCCAGGCCTTCTCTTCCCGGGAGTGGCTCCACCCAGCTACCAGAGCGAGAAACCCAGCACACCTGCTCCCCTGCAGTCCCTGGGGTCTGTGCTCTGCCCCCCCCCACCTCTTCCCATCCCTACTGCTCTGCCCTGGCCCAGACCACTGCCCCACCCCCACCCAGGGGCTGCTTCCTGATGGACTCCCTGGTCTTCTCCATTGCCAGCACCTTCCTAAGCACCCTCACACTCCAGAATCGGGTCTTAATGAGCCTCAGGCAATGCCTCCAGGGCCCTTCCACCCTCTTCCCAGCATACCTCTCCCAGCTCACCTCAAAGATGGAGTTCTGGCCTCCCTGCCTTTGCCCTTCTGTGTAGGGGAACTGCCCCCCTGCCCCACACCCATCTCCTAGGATCCTTTTTGTTCTTCAAGGTCCAGCTAAAAAAATCTTGTAAGTCCCAGTTCCTCTATTCCCCCCTTACCTCCTAATTAATCACTCCTCGTGCCTGGGGCCCAGAAGCTCGGACACCATCCCATTCTAGTTAAAATCATAGGCTTTCAAGTCAGCCCAAGTGTGTGGCCACACACACACCTCTGGACCTGAAAGTCTGAAGGAAGGGTGAGACTCTGCCAGTGGAGGGCCCAGCCCTGGGCCACAGGGGCAGCAGTTACCATCACCCTTTTACAAACGGGCACCCTTTAAGGTCCCCGGGACATTGTGGCGCTCACTGCCCTGCCACCTCAGTGCCTATATGGTGCCTGGCAAACAGTAGAGGCTCAGAAAGATTGTGGATTTTGGAGTTGGAACCCTTGCACTGCCCCTTTCTGGAGGTGGGACCTTGGACACAAGGTTTGCCTCTCTGAGACTCGGTTTCCCCATCTGTTAATTGCTCATGGTGCTGATTTGATCTCATGGGGTTGTCTCCAGGACCAAGATGTTAGGCTTGTGAAACACCTAACACAAGATGCAGGGACCCAGCTTCCTACCTTAGGGCTTTTCTCCTGAACACACCGGAAACCACAGGCCTGGGAAGGGGGAACGTTTAGTCCTGTTCTGAGGGCGAATAGTTTGGATGCCTGTAGCAG